TGGGGATCAAAGTATTTCTGAAAGACCAGGAAAGATGGCCTATCAACAGAGACTGACTGCATTTGGCTTTCAGATAAGCTACTTGAGTTATCACTGTAGCCGTGGGGGTAAAAAAGATGAAAACCTACGAAAGCTCAAAATCTGTGGGACCAGTTTTCTTCTGCTCTGCAGCTGAAAAACTTAACAGTAGATGATGATTTGTTCTCTGAGCTTAAATGAGCAGAGAGCACAACAAAGAATTCTAACACTTTTCCATACAGACAGATCCTTAACACTGTCACGCACACCTGTGTGCAGGAATGTGTCCATATGAGTACAAATGTGTACATATGTGAGTCACAGAGATGCCCATGTTGCTGTCGTCTTGCACAAGAATTGAAAAAGCAATTTTGCATTCACTTCCTTCGCCAAAAACAGTCATCTAAAACCAGCAGTTACTCAGTATATTCAGCTACTATGCCATACTGCACCTCTTCTCCTTTGACAAGAGCAGATATGTCAGGAAATCTAATTCTCAGCCTAATTGTGATGACTTTCAAAACCATGTTATTTATTTCAAATTACTGATTTCCTATAGCCCCTGCTATCACTGCTTTCTTACCAGCTTTGCTGGTGTCACCTGGTTCAGATCATCATACGCTGATCTCTCATCTTAGAAGGCCAAGGACATTCTCCTCCATCTGCTATGTCTGCACCCCCTTGACCAGTCCTATACTTCAACTTTTGCTCAGGAGCAGTGGCTTTCATTGAGCCATGATCTATACCAAGCACTTTGTTGTACGTATGGTGAGGGGGTGTGTTTGCTATAGATCGATTTTCAGTCACTGCAGGATTGCTGTGGCTGCTGCTTGAGCCTGCCAGCACCCTCCTCTTCCGCATGCCATTCTGTACTGCTGGAATCTGAGCAGATTGGGAATAGAGGATGAGCAAAGTCTAGAGGAGGAAGGGATGAAGAATGGACAAGCCAAAAATGCTCGCAGGCTCCACAGGCTTGGGACATGTGCTATTCCCAGCTGCCTGCACTAAAATGCTGCTTAATAGACTGCCCAACAGCCTGAGTTCCTCCTCCCTGGCTTCCTATGAATAACTAGCATGCATTCCAGACCTTGTCAGAGATATTCCTGACCTGGGTGTGTCTTCACTTGCAGGAACATTTCCTAAATTTTGCCTCCTCCAACACAAGTTTAGAAGCAGTTATCTGGTACAAAGATGCTGTGCACCACTGGCTTCTGTTAGGCACAAATGAGATCAGCTAGACTTTGTGGAATGGGGCAGAGAGAGACATCTCTACAGGATACTCACTCAGGCAGCAAAGGCCAAGACATCTGCAGACAGTGAAGGCATTTGTATGCACCAAACTTGGGGTCTAAAGTGACCTACTTAGCTGCATTGTTTCTTAGCTGCAAACAGTTTTTGCAAGAAGTAAACTTCAAACTTTTTGTTAATTGAGTTAACCCTTGAATATCACTTTTTTTCCCCCGGGACAAAACTAATACCTCAAAATAAAAAGACCAGACAAAAATATTTTCAAAGAATGCAAAGGCTGACGATGGGAGCAGCTCTAGCTGACCTTTCTCAACATCCTCCACACAGCATTTGCATTATTGTTGACTTTGCTTTCAATACTTGCTTGAGACACCACATCAGCCATTTAGTTTTTCCTAGTCTTTAGATTCCCTTTATAGTGAATGGATAGAGATAGGCAAGTCAGAAAGCAACAGATCCCATCCTTCTCTGACACTGATCTTATGATGAGATAGAACACTTCACAGAGGGATCAGTCTGCTGTAGCAAAGAGAGCCTATGGATCCTTGAAAGAAAACTGAGTTTGCATTTTTCATCAATGACTACAAGGAGCCCTCAGCCTGATCTTTTCTATCTCAGCCTTCATGAGCACACAAGTGATTTTCAAGCAAAGCACAGCCTCTTATGCAAAGATATGCCCAGTGAGTTTCCAGTCCTGAGTGTGTGTAAGTGCCCAAGACAAGCACCGATCAAATAAGATTTGCAATCTTTCTAGGACACTGAAGTTAAAATATACCTGGCTTCACTATGACTTGTGCATTTAGGGCAGACCCAAGCCCAAGCCCATCCCCTTTTTCCCTGTGAATAGTAGCTTTCTTAATCCATTCATTCCTTCCCCCACAGCCTTCATTTTTGCATGGATTTTCTTACTGCCCACTGTTGGACATTTTTATTATTAGGAACCAATAGTTTTACGCTACCTGATATTTTTTGCAGGATGCAGAATACCAGGTTTTGTACCTGGCCCCATGCTGCAGTCTTCCACAGGGCAGAGTACATGTTCCTTGGGGTGTTTGACTGTCTGAGTGCGTATGAGATCCTGAAAGAGCCATGCCAAGGTAAATATTCCATCGCAGGCCAGCAGCCAATGTACTGAAGTAACTCACTGCACTGGAACAGAGCCAGTAGTGGCAGCAGGGCTTCTGCCTTGGAGCAGGGAGTTGGAACACGGAGTGGGATTTCCTTCAACACTGCGAAACAGTATGCGCTCTTTGCCTCATTTCCTGGGGTAGCTGCAGGAGTTGGAGACCTATGGAAAAAAGGATGTTCACTGCTTCCATGCTTTATTCTGTTGAATCACTGTTGAAATCTACAGGGGGTCTGTGAGCTTCCCATTCTCCAGCGAGGTTGGTACCCCCCTGTATGTCCACAAGGGATGAGACAGGACTGATGGCCATATGGACACATGGATGCATCCTTTCTGGAGGGTAGAAAGTCAAGCTGCCTGCTACCCCTCACCCAGGAGCAGCCCAAAATAACCTCTTCTGTGTCAGCCAGGCTTTCCTCCTGATTGTGACAAAAATTATTCCAAAATTAGCTTCTCCCTCAGTATTTTGACATGAGGCAACACCAGATTAAAATTACTTCAGAGTTACCCTCTTGGCCTTGTCGTGAACAAAACTCTCTTCTGTTTGGTGTAAGCACTGGGACCTGGCTCAAAGGCAGCACTGCTAATTGTGAAATTTCTGACAACTGCCAGCATTGCAACAGCACCAGGCACCACCATGGACACTGTCCATCTCTGCTGATGATTTGAGAGGGGGCAGAAATCTGTGGAGGGGGTGTCCTGTGGCAGTGGGTCCTCAGGAATGGTGTTACGTCAGCCACCCCACAGGTTTACAATACTCGCCCTTGAGCCTTGGCCCCACAGCCCACTGCAGTGTGGGCACGTTGCACAATGCCCCAGTCCCGCTTCCCTTCTCCTGTCTGGCAGTTGGGATCTGAGCTCCTGACAGTGAGGAGGAAATGCTCCAACCAGCCCTGTGGGAACTCGAGGGGTGGCAGGACCAGGCGTCCTCACTGAGCCCTGCACTTTGAACAAAGACCAGGTGAGATCTTTGGGGACACAGGGAATCTCCTCGCAGAGGCATCCATCAGGGATGGGGCTTGTTCTCCCCAGGGAGAAGCTTCTTCCCCATGCTATGCAGCAAGCAGGGAAGGGGAAGATCGCTCTTCCTTGTCCCCCAACAAGCCGGGAGGGGTGGAAAGCTATGGGGAAATCAGTAAGACCACTGTGCAAGGGCTCAGTGCAAAGCTAAATATAGCCATTATCTCTGCTCCCAAAAGATAAGAGCCTGTGTCCACAGCCTGCCACAATGCCCTGCCCCGGCTTCCACCTACCTTTGCTTCAGAGGCAAACAGCAGGCAGCAGCTGTGAAGCAATTTGCCCTGCTCAAGGCAAACAGAGCTTCTGTCACGCGGCAGAAATGCACCCCGAGCCACTGTGCTGAGCCAGGCCATGGTAGCCCTGCCTGGAGATGGCTGTGCAGACCCATGGGCCTTCTGGGGTCTCTGTCCATTGCTCTTGGGCAAATCCTTGCTACCCTGCATCCCTGCCGCAAACCTTGTCACCAGTCAGCTCTGCCGAAATTCCACTGGCATGTAAAATACTAATTTACATCTCCAATGGTCCTGCAGTAGATTTCTCTCCCCAGCTTCCTTAGATCTTATCATTGCCTATATCTAAAAGCACGAACCTGTGAGGCTAAAACAATGGTCTTTCCCCTCAGCACAACCCTTCTGCATTGCTTTGCATTGCAGAGCAGCGAGTCGATTAAGCGGCAGCTTTACAGCAGGAAGTCTCTGGGTTTAACAATAGCCATGCGTGCTTCCACCGGGTAATTAAAAACAAACGTTGACGCTTCAATACCGCCTTTATGCTCTGCGAGGGAGGTGGGAGAGCAGCACTGCTCACATTGGTGCGCTCGGAGGCCAGATGCGGCCAACAAGAGGCTGTTACTCCCAGCCTTGTCACCATTCCCAACTCAGGAGGGATGAGGAGGTGCTGCTGCTGGAGTGTTGAGCTGCCCAACTCCAGTGTTGCAAACACCTTCCTGTGCCTGCCCGCTGCCTCGGGATGGGCTTCTGCGCCGCCTGGGTCCCGCAGGTGGTTGTTCATAACATTGTCTCAGTCACCGCCTCTTACAAAGAGACAACTTTCTCGTGTCTGTGAGAAGCTCAGTTTTTCCATTCCGTGCCCTAAATCTTGTCAGGAAATGGGATTTGGGAACGTCTCCTGGGATTTTTGCCCCAGAGCTGCCGTCATGGGACGGAACGTGTGAGTAACCCTCATCCCCATCCCACCCCACCCCTCCGTGCACACCGAACACCCTGCTGAGGAGCTCAGTCCCCTGAGAAGGGCTCGGGACATTCCTGTCACCTGTGTCTGCTTGTTGGTGGCAAAGCCCCCCGGGGGCGCACCAGTTTCACACCTGAGAGGATCACAACGCCTGCTCAGGCACAGTAAGCTCTCCCAGGAGATCCCTGGGAGCCAACGGCTTTTCGAAACCCCTCGATGATCGCCCCGCACACCACCCCGTCCACCGCGCGCAGCCCCGCAGCCGAAGACGACACTGCCGTCCAGCCCCGTCGCCGCTGAGGCGGAAGGCCCTGCGCTGCCCATTGGCTGCCCGCCGCGCTAGGAGCGCGCTCATTGGCCGGCCGGAAGGGAGGGCGGGGCGGGCGGCGCCCTTAAGGGTCCGGAGCGAGGCCGCCCCGTCGGTGGCGGTGGTTCGGGGGGAGGCGGGCTGTGAGCGGGCCGATGCGCTGCGTCAGGTACGAGCTGCCTGGGGGCCGGCACGGCGCTCCCGGGGCTTCGCGCAGGGAAGCTGTCACGGGAGGTATCCCGTAGGGGTGGCGGGGGTTTGGGCTGCGTCACAGGGACGGCTTGTGGGGTCGGGGTGGCAGAGGGGCCGGCAGCCGGATGCTTGGCGTGGGGTGGGCGGGAGCTGCCTGATGCGGGGCTGTGCTCGGCTGCCAGGAGCGATTGCTCTGCTCTGAGCTGCTTTCCCTTCCTAAGGTAAGGGAAGGAAGAGTGAGTGCAGGGGGGTGGTGGGTGGAAGCCAGCATTCCTCTTCTGAAACGGGCTGCCCTGCTCGCTCCCTTTCCCGCGGCAGCTCTCGGTGCCGCCTTCGTGCTCCATCTCCGGATCGCGGGGGGCTCAAGGCAGCAGCCCTGATGGGGGGCGCCGCTGTGGTTGCGGCTCGAGGGCCGGCAGCGGAGAGGAGAGATCTGGGTGTGAAACGAGCTGAGGCTTGCGAATGCAAGTGCTGAATCCTGCTATAGGGAGGTGAAGCTCTTCCTCAAGTTGGAATATGCTTCAAGTCATGCAAACAGGCAGGATGCTTCTTGCCTCTTAATGTCAAACACTGGGAGTTACCGAGGCTTACAGAACTACCTGAGTGCTCAGTGGGAGTTCAGGTGAATGGCTGCTGCGGGAGGGATGCAGGTGAAGCTGGCCTTGGTGGGAAGCTGTGTCATTTTAAAGGAGGAAATGACCTGCATAAAGAATGTGAGAAAGTCAGTGAAACCAGGAAGAGCTAAACAGCTTGGTGTTGGCAGACAGGTGGATCCGCTGTCTGTCCTTGTGCAGGTGCCCTTGAGCTTCAAAGAAGGCTGAAGGAAGAAATGCAGGAGGTAGCTGGTAGGTGTGTTGGGAAGCAAGCCTTTGCCCATGCATTCTGAATTAAGCAAGCATTACTACTGAAGGGATGCTATGGAGGGCTGCTCAGAGCTGCCCTGTTGGTGTTGCAGGGTGGGAAAGTAAAGCACAGACTTGGAGAGAGCAGCTCTGTTGCTCTGTCTTGGCACAAGGACAGCTACCAAGTACTATAGCTGGCTGCGTGTGGCTTTGGCAGCACAAGCTCTTGTGCATTGTGCGGTCAGCTGCTGCTGCTCTCACAGTGAGACCAGCTTTGGAACATGGTCTGCAGCCAAACAGAGGATTTAATTAAGGAAATAGTCTGACTTCAAGATGTGGGTACGTGGAGGGACTGTGCTGTATCACTGGGAGCTGGATGCTAGAGGAGGAGATGCTGTGGTGGAGAGACACGCAGGCTGCCCCTCTGGGGGAAGGACTTGTTTCCAAAGCCTCTGTCAGCCTTGAGTGTATCACACAGCTTGCCTGTGCTATGCTGATGTTTCTCTAAGTATTCTGTAGGTTAAGATGTGCACTCTGGAGGCAAAACCTTCTGGCCTGCCTGATATCTGTTTTAAAATACCACAAAAGGAAGAAAGTTGCACCTCTATGGGTGCAGAGCAAGGTGAACATCAGCAGGACCAAGCCATGGATTTTGAGTTAGGTCAGAAGTGTTCCAGAGCAAAGCCTAGAAGGGCAGTGCCTGCATGTACCTTAGCACGGTGACTCTCCGTAGCAAGCAATGGGAAGTCAACTTGCCCTTAAAGGGATGCAGCAGGCTATGGTTGAGCCACAGCACTGTGGTAGCACACTTCCCAACACATCTGTAAGTCATGCAAGTACTGGCCTCTTACAGAGCTTGAGGGATTGGGGGGTGATGGAATCTAAGCTTCTTTAGGATGGATGGGGAGAAGTGTAGCAACTATCTGACAAGTCACTGAAATGCTTCTCTGACATAAACTGCCTCTTCTTTTGATCTTTCAGTGTAATAGACTATTTTCCTCACAAACAAGCAATGGCTGTGGATGTAGCAATGCAGCTGTACCTGTGCTCCTCACCCTTGCGAAGAGAGAGGTGTGCCTGCAAAATTGCCCCAAAGCCAAACAAGCCATTGCGGCCATGCATCCAGCTGAACAGCAAGGCGGTACTGACTGGACCAGAAGAGGCAGAAAACTCCTTCACACACAACAAGGTGAAGAAGAAGGTGTCATTTGCGGATAGCAGAGGCTTTGCTTTGACAATGGTGAAGGTGTTCTCAGAGTTTGATGATCCTCTAGATATTCCTTTCAACATCACTGAACTGATCGACAACATTGTGAGTCTGACAACAGTAGAGAGGGACAGCTTTGTCCTGGACTTCGTTCAGCCCTCTGCAGACTACCTGGACTTCAGAAACCGTCTTCAGACAGACTGTGTGTGCCTTGAAAACTGTATGTTAAAGGAACGGTCTGTTGTGGGCACAGTGAAAGTGAGGAATCTGGCTTTTGAAAAGTCTGTAAAGATCAGGATGACATTTGACACCTGGAAAAACTTTGTAGATTACCCGTGCCAATATGTCAAGGATACGTACGGAGGATCAGATCGGGACACGTTTTCTTTTGACATCAGCTTGCCTGATGGAATTCAATCCCATGAAAGAGTTGAGTTTGCCATCTCCTTTGAGTGCAACGGCAAGGTGTACTGGGACAGCAACAGGGGCACAAATTACAGAATCATACGCTCAGAACTGAAGTCTGCCCAGGAAGCCCTCCGCCCTCCGTGCAGCCCTGACTTCAGCAGTGCCTTTGACCAGTTTGGGAGTCCTCGGTGTGCCTATGGCCTGTTTGCTGAGTGGCCAAGCTATTCAGGATATGAAAAGCTGGGGCCCTACTACTGACCTAAGGACCTAATATTCTGACTGACTGTTGGTGGTGTCTGCAGGTGTGGGAGCCCTCCTAAACTCGAGGTGTGTGGAAAAGTGGAAGAAGTGAGGCTCCGTGTAGCTCTGCGTAAGCCTCCCAGCGAAAAAAAAAAGTGCAGTACTCTGCTGGCAGTTGGCTTATAATCAGGGATGCATCTCCATAAAGGGCTGCCTTCCCTGTCTCAAGTCAGATAGCTGGCTCTCCCGATGATCAAAAGAAAAGGAGATGTTGCTTGCCTGCCTGTTCAGTGCTGCTACTCCTTCCTCTTCTGTAAAGCTGCTAGTCTCCAGGGAAACACTACAATGCTTGGGTTGTCTGCTGAAGCTATGTAGTGGTGGCTGGTTTGTGTTGCTTGCTAGTGTTAAAGGGTTTTGGTGTTGGTTTTCCTTTTTTTTTTCTCCAAAATATGTTCTAGTATTTTTAAGTGTGCTGTACTTCAACATCGCAGCTGGGCTCTCCTGGAGGGTTGGCCCATGCCTGTCAGGAAATGTTGAAGTGATTGGCTTATGGGGAACAGCCATCTTTTTGTGCACTTCCTTGTGTGAGGCCCTTTCTGCTTGAGGCAGGAAGGGTATTTTGGAAGTGAGAATACAACTGCGATAAGATGTGACCCCACAGCCTGCTGTATTAGGGGACATATGTGCCTGTGGGGGAAAAATCTGATATGCTTAGTCACCAGTTGTTTTATCAGCTGATCTTGAAAAGCTTTCATCATATGCTTGGCTGGTGTTACCAAAAATAGAGGTTAGCTGTAGCTGTATGGTGCTTGTAAAGCATCTGTAGGCTGACAGCCTTGACTGCCTTCTTTAAAACCTTCCTCTCTTTTAATTGCAAGTGACCAGTAATGCTTTTATCCCTTGATGAACATTTGGAATCAGCTACTGGACTTGCTGGGTTTTGGCATGATGCCCATGCAAGCAGCTTTTCTCAGGTGTTGTGGGAGCTAAACACATGGCACTGTCATGCTGAGAGAAGGTGGCTGTCATGCACCTACTGTGATGGAAGTGCCTTGGCTGATAAAGTGCTGGGATCACGTGCACCATCACTGGTTTGAGATAAACAGGCTTTGGAATTGATGTTGCTTTTTTTTAATAAAAAAGTGTAGTGGTTTATTACTCCATGCCTTGAACTGCTTGGCAGCAGATGGAGTGGCACTGCTCATGTGCAAGGATGTTGTGGCTGAACTGAAGAACATCAACATGCTGTGCTTTCCCTCACTGCTCTAGCAGTTGCTGCCACTTCAACCTGGGAATGTCTAAGCTTTCTTTTGCTCTTGCCTTAAGAAGTGGCTCACCCACTGCAGAGGAATGTGATATTTGGGATTACTCTGCCACCTCCAGATGTGAAACAAATCACCAATGTGAGCCATCACTCTTTTGAAACAAGGTAGCTGTGCTGAGATGAGGTAGCCAGCTTGTTCAGTGCCAGACAGCCTTGCAAAGCTGCTTGCATAGTAGCTGAGCAGAAAATGTAATCCCTCAATCAAACAATCAAAGGGAGGTTCTGAATAGTCTGTAGGAGTAGAGGTCAAGGGAATCTTCCTAGTGCATAAGCTTTATAAATGTTTTGGGTGCCTATAGAAGCATTTAGATTGGCTGGAGAGAAGCAGTGGGCTAGACTACTTGATAAGCTTTTAGATCTGGAGACTGCTGTATAAAGTACTGAAGCTGTTTTACCTTAACTTAGAAGGGATACTATAGTCACTCTTGAATGCTGAAAAGGACGAAAAAGCTTGTGAGAATAGCTAGCCTTCAGCTGCTGCTTTTTTCTAAACCTGATGTTGATGCTTGTTGTCACTCTGTCTGATTGCTAATTCTAGGTGATAAATCTACTTGCTAGCTCAGAGCTCATCAGCTTCGGTTCAAACAGCTTCCTGAGTCAGCCCTTATCTGCTATGGTCTCTTGTGAAGGGACTGTTGCCCAGCTTGGCTTGAACCCATTTTTAAACTGAAGTTTGAGTGACACTGATTTTTTTTGTTTGTTTGTTTGGATTTAGTGAATGGTGTTAGTGCTGTAAGACACTGTAGAGAAGCTGTGCTCTCCTGGCATGCTCCAGTGTCTGGGGAGGGCTGCTCATGGGCCGAAACAAGGCATGTGTCTGGGGTACTGTGGATGGTGGATCTCCTTATTGGGGCCTGTGTTTTCAGGCTGTGGAAGCGGTGTGCTTAAGGGAAGAGCATGGAAGATTAACTTATGGTATAGCTGTTCTAGTTTAAGCTAGGCTGGGAACTATTTGACCAATAGTAGTTTAAAAATACTGCTTGTGGCCTTTTCCCTTTTTCCGTTGTCAATGTGAACATAGAAGTAAGGGGTTGCTCTCCTCACTCTATGCCTGGAAGTGCCTTGTGGGTTCTTTTGCATGTTTGTTTTTAAAAAGGTTTTTGTACACAGCGTTCAAGTGGAAAATGCACTTTATAATTGCAATGTAATAAGTCTTTTAATACCATGGCTCTGTTTTTATCTGATTGTTAAAATAAAGGTGGAACAATGTTGGTTGTGTACCTTCCTATGTTATTTAAATACCCATGAGGCTAGGGAGGTGACTTGGACACAGGAGGGGAGCCTCCTGCAAGTAGCGTTGGCAGGAACACACATCTGCATTAGAATGCTGCTGAAAGCAGGAAAGAGTAGCTTATTCACACAATCTTCTACCAGGATGAATGTTTCCAGAGTCTCTGCAGTGGAGGGGAAGGAGGAGGGAAGCCAGGCCCTTGTCTGGGCAGTGGCTTTTCAGGTTTTTCTGCATTTATTTCAGGTTTGTCTCTGTTAGAGCACAGTCCTCCCCCCCCCCCCCACCTAGCCTATCTGGGATCAGTGTTTTCTCTCTGCTTGGGTTCTAGCGTGTGATGGATGCCAGGAGAGGTGCAGTGCTGGGTGAACTGCATTATGAGTAAACGACTCTGAGCTGTGGGTGGCCTCTCTTACAGATAAGGTAAGAAGGAAAGCTACCAGAAGGATTTAAAGCACAAAGCTGACGGCATTTCCTGTCTTGCCATGAAGTCTGGCAGAGCAAATTTAGACCTTGCTCTACATAGAAATAAAATTGAGCACCTTTCTTCTGTGGCTATTTCTGAGTCTCTTTTATCTAACACGAACTCTTTCCAGGCTGTTTTGCCTCACAGCAGTGAGTAAGGTATGGTTCTTGGTTTGTCATGTCCTTCCCCCAGTCTCTGCATAACAAAAACAAGCATCTTGATAAGGTGAAATGGCTTTAAAGCTACTTCCTACTGCAGGGGAGTCAGAAATCCACACCACAGGAAGCTTCCCCTCTGCAGGAGAGGAGCAATTCTTGTGGAAATGCCAGCAAGGGCCAGGTTTCACCCATCTTTCACTAGGTTCAGTGACATGCTGAATTTTAAGCAATGAGCTGTTGTCTCTGGGTGGTCTTAGCCATTTACCTGTATGGTTAAGAAGGAAAGCTGAGGGAGGGCAGAAAGCACAAAGCAATCACATGCTCAGCAGCAATTAAACCAAGGAGAAACAGGGTGATGGCAAAGGACTTTGCTTTCTCAATAAACAACTGCCACTCCCTTTTCTTCCCAAATCGTTGCCTCCATAGCTAAGCACCATTGGAAGTGCTTCATCATTATTTTCTAACTTCTATTAATCAAGCACAGAACACTCACTTTTTTAAAAGGCCATCTGATTGCTTTTCTGGTTTCAGGGAAACAAGACAGCTCTTAGAAGTATTCTGGTCTGCCTCAGCACGTCTACAAGCAATTCAAGCCAGTACTGCTTCCATATTTGAACACAAGTTTACGAGTGAAATGACCACAGTCAGGCATTTCCTGTAACAGTTTTGTGGCTGAAAGCCCCCATGTGACAGTTTCACTTTGAGAGATAAGGAAGTCCAAGCTGAGCCTGCAGACGTTTCAGAAGAGAGGAGACATGAGAAAGACCAAGAGAGCTCTGGGTTTTGCTCTGGTTGCTCAGGTGTTGCAGACACTGGGTTTACTGCACTTATAGAGCCCTCGGTGGCAGGTGTCAAACAGCCTTTGCTCTGAAGCTCCTCACCTCTGTAACTTTAGGGGTATCCTGTGCCACCTCATAACAGACATAGTTAAGCAGGGCAGTCATGTTGCTCTTGGCTGAGGTGTTTGACTTGAGTGGCCCTGGAAGGGTCTGGTTTCCTGATTCTGTTCACCATACCAGAGTCCTGCCCAGCCTGGTGACAGGCTGAATGAGCTCTTTCTGAGGCTGCTCAGGTGCAGAAGAGGGTCCTCAGGTTTGGTTTCCAGCATACTTAGTTTGTGGTCTGCTTAACCAGAAAGTGAGGCTCTGTTGATAACTGAGCACCAGACATCAGTGCTGGTTGGATGCCTCAGAGGGCAGGCAGGCGGAGCGCATTGTTTCCCAGCAGCAGTTGCATTTCTTCCATCACTTCCCCTCCTCGAGCTTTCATTTAAGAGGTGGTTGCTTGCTGTCACGTCCCATCCTCAAAGCAGTGGAGGGAAGCACAGTGCTTTCTTTCAGGCACGTACCACAGGGCTTCCTATTGCTCTGTAATGCCTACCTCGTGCTCTGCAACAATTACTCTTTTCCATTCTCTCTCAATGTGATGCTGCTTCCAGCACAACCATCCCACACCAAGTTGAGGATGAGCTTGGGGTTAGTAACCTTAAGCTTGGGAAGGACATTTGTGAGCAGTAAGAGGAGACTGTGTGGAAGATCCAACTCTCAGCAATCACACACAGCTTTGCCATAAAGTCAGCAGCACTGGGGTGGGTTTCAAAGTGCCCGAACTATTCTGTTGTTTCTGTTCTTGCTGGCCAACTTGGCTGGCTTTAAATTACTGCAGTAAAACTTATTTATACTCCTGTTGCTTTTTGATGGAGTAAAGCTTCAAATCAACTGCTCTGGACAGCAAAAGTTCTACCCTGCTGCAGCTGGGGACGCTCCCAGCCTGTCCCTATCCTCCCCTTTGGAGTAGTGATGTGCCAGGCTGTTAGCTGTTCTTAAAGACTTATTACTGACATTTACAAAAAGGAAAAGATTGTCTTTGTTGGAAAATAATTGCAGCTGGCACATCCTTTTGGTGCAGTTAAGTCCGGGTGGTCACCAAGGAGCAGTTAAGTGCTTTGGCTCTTGGAACATGGATGCAGGCAAATCCCTCCGGCCCATGCATGAGTCACAGATCTCCCTGCTCTGTAGTCGTTTATCTTTAAAGAAAGTTATGGAGGAGGGAAGGGTCCAACTTCACAGCCCATGAGAAATTTGCTCAAAAGAACATAAGAAAGTGAAATTTTCAGGATATCTCTATAAATGTCTTCATAACTTATTTCTGACGTGGGGGTCGTCTTAAAACCACAGTGATGAATCATTTTCATGGCAGTTAATGACATGATATGACATTTATATGATATTTAATCAATCCTGGGCATATTCCAATGTGAAGACATTTTTCGGTGTCTCCTACTCACAGACAGTTCAACTTGCACAAGACCTCATCCATGCAGATGCTGATGACCCCAGGGATGGAGATGCCACCAAATCTCTGTGCGTTGTTCCTAGCTGGCACTGCTCTTCTGAGGAAAAGTCATGGTTCTCACAAATCAAAGGAGCTCTTAGCAACATTGCAGTCTTATTGTAATACCTGTTTGTTCCAGCCCTCACCAGATTCAGGACATATAGATGTGAAGGGACAAGACAGATGTCCACACGGCAAAAATACTTCAGACCTGAAAATTCTAGCCCATGTGTAGTTTGGGCCAAGGCAGCAGCAGCTATTCACATCCAGTAAGGTATTTGCCATTTCCCAAGATATCCTTCAGCAAAGGGTATAGCCTCATTCACCATATGGTTGCAAGAAAGCCCTGCTGTTGAGCTGAAGACAACTGATCTACAAGGTACCTTCCAGTGATACTTGTTCGGGTCAATCTGAACAAACCAGAGCCCAAAGTTTATAGCAATACCTCTGGGCCCAAGTTTTATTCCCAAGCCCCAACATCCAGCAGTAGGGAGCTCATGAAATGCTGTGCTTGTCTTCCATCTTTATGGTCACTGGCAGAACAAAACTTTTGCATTACCAGCAGGAGTGTAATTCCTCAGTGACACTCAGTGCAGTGACACTTCAGTACTACATAGACAAGCAGTTTTATAGGAAGAAATATAAGAGCCCTCTCCAACCCCACTCAGGATTTATGGCTATCCACCTTTCAAACAATGCTCCCCTGGACACCTGGCAGGTGCTGCTTCTGCATTTCTCTGCTTGTTGTGATTAACTGGCTTCTGGGTGACCAGCAGAAACACAGTGTGATTCTCCATCTATGGAGAACCATCCATCTACTCAGATGAACTCAGTCTTGATAGTGTGGTGAGCCAGGGTTCAGGCAGTGATGGGCTGATGGTTGGACTAGAGGATCTTAGTGGTCTTTTCCAACTGTAATGATTCTATGATTCTGTGTATTTATAGATGATGTGGTGACAAAGACAATGCGTGGCACCTCGCACGCCTCGCTCAACAGCACACTTGGTCACTGAGGCAGGTGTTGGAGAAAAGCTAAACAGGTCTCCCCTTGGGGCTGAGGACAATCACAGCCCAGCACTACTTCCTCCCAGAAGCCATCTCCAAGCAGTTCAACTCAAAATAGCAGACAAACTAAAATAAATAAATCTATTGAACTTATCTCACCCCC